TTCTTTAGAAATAAATAAATAAATAAAATTCAAAAACAAAATAAACAAAAAACAAAAAAGTTTGCACAAAAAAAAGTCCAGAGGGAAAGCCTTTTCCTCTTCCTTCCTCCCGGGATCTCTCCAGAGGGATCCTTTGGCTTCTTCTCTTCTCCCAGGGAGGGGGAGGAGAGACAGAGCCAATCTTTCCTGGTACCTCCCAGGACAGAAAGAGAAAACTCGAGATCCCTCCAAGCTTTGCAAGGCAGGTGGGCTCTTTTTATTGCCATTAGAGGCACCGCCATGCTATTAAAACACATACTATTAAAACCCATCACCATCATCAAGCTCGTTCTGACTTGGGTGACCCTTTTTCCAAGGTTTCCCAGGGAGGGAGTTCTCAGAAGCAGTTTCCCCTTTTCCTTCTGGGACGGTGGAGCTGGCCCAAGGCCGCCCCAGCTGGTTGTTCTCGTGGAAGGAAGCCCGTGGGGGGGAATCAAACTCCCAACCTCTGTAGTGACAACCTCACCGGTGATATGCTTCATAACTAAAGACTGCAGTCTGCCTGTTTCATTCTATCAGAGATCTCTCCCTGGTATTTAATTCAACTGTGGGGTAATGGTTCCCTGGGAATTATTAATTATTCCCTACAAACCTCTCCAACCAGCTACTCTCCTGTCAGTAGAATGCCATTTCTTTTTGCAGTATTTGAGCCCCATCACCAGCAGCCCCAGGATTCAGGAGGGGGCCGCCACCCCCATAGAGCATCTCGATGGATCGAGAGGCCACTGAGATGGAGGTGCAGGGAGCCACTGATCCTGAACCCCAGAGCTCTCCAGCCAGCTACTCTCCCGTCAGCAGAAGGCCGTTTCTTTTTGAGCCCTGTCACCGGCAGCCCCAGGAACCTTTGGGGAGGGGGCCGCCACCCCCAGGTCTCCCATAGCCACTCTCGAGGGCTCGAGAGGTCACTGAGATAGGCTTGACACGGCCTGCTCTTCTCTGCCCCTCGCAGAGGTCTAGCCGGGTGCCAAACCTCCATCTTCTTCCCTTCACTTTGGTTCTGTTCTTTCTGCTTCGTTTCATAGCCTCTGAAGTGACTTCAAGCCAACCCGAAGGGGGGAGAGAGAGACCTGTTTGCCAAAGAAAGGTGAGTTTCCCGGGCCAAGTGGGGCTTTGAGTCCAGGTTGCAGGAGTCCCCTTTTGATTATCTACCACTCTGCCTCTCTGAACATGTGCAGAGTGTTGTTATTATTCCTTTAGTTCCCAATCCTGCTCGGCTCAACCCTGCCTTTACCTCTATGGGTGAGATGCAGCTTGGTGTGGGGCTTTCCCAAAAATTATCCCTGATCTTCTAACTGTGCGTTGGGTTCCTATTTCCAAGGTGCAGTACTTTTCACTTACTCTGTTGAATTTCATTCATAGAAATCATAGAAAAGTGAATTTGGGAGGGGCCTACAAGGCTATCCAGTCCAACCTCCTGCTCAAGGCAGGAATTCAATCAAAGCAGATCTCCCAGGTGGTGATCTCAGCTTCTCTTCAACGTCTCCGGTGTTGGAGCCCTCACCAACAGGACAGCATTCACTGCAGAAGGATGGAAAGAGAGATAGAGCTTCATGTCATCCGCATATTGGTGACACAAAACTCCAGAACACCTGATGACCTCCCCCAGCATTATACAGTGGTGCCCCGCATAGCGACGTTAATCTGTTCCGGATTAATCGTCGCTATGCAACGATTATTGGATTTCTGTCTTGCCCATCTAGACCAAAGGTCTACGGGCGGTTTACAAATTTAAAAACAATAAAACCTAGAAGATATATTATAGATCCAAGGTGGTGAAAGTATAAGAAATTAAGATATGGAAGGAAGGAAAGCCTGGCCAAATTGTTGTTGTTTAGTTGTTTAACTCTTTAGTTGTTTAGTTGCTGTTGTCCTCTGCTCTTCCTCAGTAGCATGTTGGACGCCTTCCAACCTGAGTGGCCCATCTTCCAGCGTCATATCTTTTAGCCTTTTGTTTCTCTTCATTTGGGTATTCTTGGCAAAGATACTGGAGTGGCTTGCGAATTCGTACTCCAGGTGGATGGCGTTTAGTCGTAACTCTCCACTATGACCTGTCTCTCTTGGGTGTCCCTGCACAATATAGCCCATAGCTTCTCTGAATTACTCAAGCCCCTTCACCACAACAAGGCCACAATCCTGCCCAAATAGCCAGGTCTTAAGTTTATTCCTGAAAACACCCAGAGAGAGAGCCAGGTGGATCTCCACTGGCAAGTTGTTCCAAAGGTGAGGGGCCACTGCCAAGAAAGCCTGTTCCACATGTCACGATCAGCTTCCTCTAAAGGAGAACTTGACCAGTTGGACAGAGAGTAATTGGAAGTCTGTGCACCCTCATGCAGCTGAGTTGAGTCCTGGGTGACCAAGGCATGCAAAAAACAAGTCTGCCCTAAAAAGGTAATTGCTTAACCTTAAGAAAAAAGAAGAAATTACACATGAGCTTTGTAGTCCTTAGACCCACTTGGCTCAATAAGGTAGAACCCAGTAGCTTACTGTGGCCTTGCTTTCCCCTCGGGGTATAGCTATGACAGCTTCACTGTTCAAGAGACCAAAAGATTTTATTATTTTATTGAAAAAAAACCAGTATAGATTTACAAAGTCAGTTTGATGTAAAAGCATAGCAAATTACCGTTTTCAAATAGAAACGAAGCAATAATTCCTTTTAATTACAATAGCTCTAAAAATCCCTAAAAAATCTCTAAAAGCATCTTTAGGGTAGGCAAAAGGCACAAATCCCCCCTTCCTTTTGTCTTTGTCTCCCTACATCTCCCTCAGTCCTTTACCTGCACTGGGCAGCAGGCAAACAGACCTAGAAAAACTATGATGGAAAAAGTAGACCAAAAATTGTAGAACAAAAGAAGGGATCTCTGCACATAGTAAAAGTTCCTTTTTCAAGCTTCTTGGAACCACCCTTCTCCATCTCTCAAGCTTTCATCTAATAACGGCATATGGTTATGGAAACAGTCCCTCCTTCTCTTCTCATTAGAAACAGGTGTTGTTTTTCTCAGTCCATTGCCTTCTACGCCACAACAAGTGTCTGGTCTTCTTATCTTGTAATGGCTTGTCCTGGCCTAAAGGAAAAACATTCCCACAGCTCTCTGGAAATACACTCCCAGCATGCAAAATCATTTATACACAGAACCAATATGGAATCCATTTTACATTGTTCACAACTACATATCCCATCTTCAATACATGATTTAAACCACATAAATCAACCCATGATACTGTTTTCTTTCCTTCCGGACCTCCCTTGGCGTTATGTTTTCTTTCCTTCTGGACCTCCCTTGGCGTTAGGCCCCTCAGCCGCCCGGCTTGGCTGGAATGAGTGACTCTGCCAGACCTGGGTGGGAGAAGGCATTCTGCTAGATATCGAGGTCCTTAACCATTTAGGACTTTATCTGTCATCATAAGAACTTTGAAATCAACGTGGAAATGAATGGGCAACCAATACACGACAGCCAATGTGGGGGATATATTTTGGTACCTTTTCACTCCTGTACGAAGGCTGACCACCGCATTTTGTACCATCTGAAGATTCCGTGTCAGTCTCAAAGGCAGCCCCACATACAGCGCATAACAGTGGTCTAATCTTGAGACTACGAGTACATAGACCAAAGTGGTGAGCACCCTCACATCAAGTTGGGGATGCAGCTGGGCAATCCACTGAAGGTGGAAATGTGCGGAACAGACCACTGATGACACCTGGGTCGTGATGGTAAGCGCTGGTTCCAGAGGTACACCCAAACTGCGAACCTCACTCTTGGTGGTAAGAGTCACTCCCCCAAAAGGAAAGGGCTTTTCCCAGACCACTGATGTCTGGGACACCCACCTGAAGGACATTAAGCCTAAGTCTATTCACCTGCATCCATTGCTGAACAGCCCCCAGGCAGCGCTATACGAACAAAACAACATCCACTGTTGTTGGAAAAAAGGAGATGTAGAGCTGAGTATCATCAGCATATGGATGATACAAAGCCCCACATCCCCTCATAACGCGGAACCCAACAATTGAGGCTCCACAGGGCCGAGAAACTCTCCAATCTGCATTCTCTGGGGACGGTCCTCCAAGAAGGAACGGAGCCAGGCCACTGATTCCCAACTCTGAGAGCCTCCCCAGGAGAATACCGTGGTTGATGGTATCAAGGGCAGCTGAGATATCGAGAAGGACCAGCAGAGACATTTTGCCCCTGTCGACCTCCCTCATTAGGTCATCAAACAGGGTGACCAATGCTGTTTCCATACTGTGGCGCGGCCTGAAGCCGAAATGGAATGGACCCAGAGCATTGGTTTCATTCAGAAGAGCCTGCAGCTGATCACTCACCACCCTCTCAACTACTGTGCAGAGGAAAGAAACATTGACAACAGGTGTATAATTACCAACATTGTCTGCCGCCAAGCTCGGTTTCTTCCTAATGGGCCTAATGAGTGTTTCCTTAAGGGCAAGGTATCAAATAGTATCAAAGGACACTGAAAGATCTCTCCCACCCCCCCCCC